TTTCGCTGTGGCAACTCTTTTTTTCGAACAATATCGTGTTGAATTCTTAATTGTTTTTTTCCACTTTTCAATAATTGTTGTAATTGCTTGTTAGAGTGAGAAATTCTATTATCAATAAAATTCCATTTGTTTTTTTTTACCGCATCTTTTGTATCAATTGCGCCTAATCTATATTATTGAAAGAAAATTTTTGATTTATAAACATTTAAATGATTGTTCAAGTATATCTGTAAAAATTTTCAATATCTTTTCTTGTTTTTGTTAAAATTTTCAATATAATTTAGATGATATGATGCAATTAATCACTTAATTCTATGTCATTACGGATTGTCCCATTGCTTTCAGGATTAAACAAAAAGCAGAAACATCGATGTCATCGTTTCCGGAATGTAAATATATGTAAATACATTAATAATACTTGTTTAAACTTCTTGTTCTATTTCTCTTCAACCTTTTTGATTTAGCAAATGAACTGAGAATTCGTCGCTTGTCATCACGATTGTCATCATTTTCATTCTATAAACTAATTTCTTTCATTCATCAATTTTTGATTAAATTCTGTTAGATGAAATGAAGGTGAAGTAATTTCAATAGTCTCATTAAAACTGTGAATTGGAAGAGAAAATGAGAGATCAATATCGAGAAATCAATATCAAGAAATCAATATCAAGGAATCAATATCAAGAAATCAATATCGAGAAATCAATATCAAGAAATCAATATCGAGGAATCGATATCACTATTGAATAAATGAGTGAATTATCGTGATACAATAAAATGTGACACAATAAAAGAATGAAACAAACTTCGAGAATTCCGATCAGATAATGTTTTCGATCAATTCCAACCTGACCTTCGATAATCATCATTCTTCCGGTTACAGCTATTATTTGCTGATATTTTTTCTCGCTCATTTCATCTTTCATTGCTACAACCGAAAAAAAAAATATGTATTATAAAATGATTTTGTATTTTGAATGTAAATATATTAACATTTCTTATTAAATACTTTATTGGAACAGGAAAAAAAAATCAATATATACCATAGTCTTAATAATCTGATCAATATTTTATTAAAAAAAGAAAATCGAAATTATTTTTAAGAAAAAGCAATCACTTCGTTGACTAAAAGTTACAACCCGCATTTCATCTTCAATTCCTTTCTTTAATTCCGGTTGACCGATTTTCAACTACAAAATAAATTACGATTATACTAAATTTGACTTTTAATAATTTTAGTAATATTTCATGATAAGATTAATTAAAAATATTGTAATCTACATAATCGTCATAATCAAATTGAATCAATGATAGGAAAAGCAATGATGAAAAAATTAGCTTATTTGAGCTGAAAAATAACTTTCATACAACTTTTACCATTTTTATTAGCCGTACAAATTATTTGGAAATTTTTCAGTTTAAAGTTAAATTACAATATTTCAACATACAGCCATTTTAGTTTTATGATAATAGTCCCAAAGTGGATATATATGACATGGACCAAAATTTTCCCTCGAAGCTTTCCCATAGATCATTCCGAATTCAGCCTTATCCGGTGAGAATATTCGAGCGATACACGGATACGGAAATTGTGGATGCTTATTCTTGAAAATGAAATGATAGAATGGCTTACATAATGCAAATACCGATTGTAAGCCAACAGGTGAATTTATTGAAAAACGTGGAATTATAATCTGAAACCAAATATCTTTTATTTAATTTAAATTTGAAATAAATTAAATAAAAGTTTGAAGTTTGAAATATCAGCAATGAAGTTATTAATTTGAAATGCATTTTGATTGAAGTGTGAATGCTTACCCTTTAGTAAGAATTTTATATCATTTTTTGATAATAAATTATCAGTAATTACAACAATTAAAATTAGATTGAATTATTTTAAAAGTTAAATAATAACAATGCAATGTATTAACTAGCCGATTGTCTTATTGGTTGTGAACTTATTTGAGTGATATAATGTCGTAGTTGTTTACCATTTAATAATTTTAGGAAATCTTTTGAAAAGAACATTCTTGGTTGAAAAAGATACCTAAAATTAGTAAACATATTTTAAATAAAAAATTTTCTAAGCAAATTTATTTATAAAGAAAACTCAAAATTGTTTACATTTTGCTAGTTTTATTTTCAAAATAACATTACATTTTAAGACCATCAATTTCGGAATCTAATTCCAGGACACGTATATTATCTCTGGTAAGGCATGTACGAAATAAACCATCACATCGATATGCTTTTATCTAAAATATTGAATTTTATTTTTTAGCATTTTAGAAGAATAAATATGAGGAAAGTATTGAATGACGCTTAAACTTACTACGCTACGTGTATCCACATTTTTCTCGTACGTTTCATAAAAAAATGTCTCCACTTCTATTATTTGACCAGGTGGTTTCCAGTAGAACATTGAATTAAATGATGTTATCAATACTAAACGTGCTTTTTGTTTTGGTTGTAAATCTCGACGTACCACATGTTCCATAGTTCCTTGGGTTGTTTCCTATATAATAATTAAAAAAAAAAAAAAGAAGAACAAAGTATATAATTCCTTCTTATAAATCATAACATTTAACATAGGAGAGAAAATGATAAATGATATGATAATATTATCAAAATTAATTACTTTAATATTTTTGTTCATTTCATTTACAAGTGTTTGTCCAATAGGATCCATTTGAAAACACAATGTTTGTACCACTTCCTTTTTCATTTTCTCTTCCGGTTCAAATACTATCATTTCTGCTTCTTGAGACTGTAAAAGGAATGAAAGAATTAAATGAAAAATAGAAATCAAAGAACCGAAAAAAAAAAAAAGAAAAAACGGATCGAAAATGATAAGCTAACCTCTGTACCATAATATTTTTCAATATATTCCATTAATTCATTATCAAATTTTAGTAAATGATTTTCCTCAAAATATATGCGTGTTACTCCTTTTGAGAATAATCTCAAATAATTGATACAAATATCATTCAATTCTTCATGGATAGTTTTTCCGAGTGGTTCAATTACACCGAACAGAGCTATAATAAATAAATTATTTTTACAAAATTTAATAATATTTCTCAATATCAATTAAAATTATAGCACTTTTTTTTTTTGGAAACAGAAATAATCTTTCAATTTATTAATATTTTATTTTCTGTTATTTAAATGCTGCAGAGTTAATTAAATTCACTATTTTTCTATTCTTATAATTTTAGTAGATGTTCCATTATTCTATGTAACATTTATTTACAAATGATTATTTATATTTGAATTGGTCATTTTGATTTCAAATATTAGTTTTATACCTTTTGAAATCAATTTTGAAAGTTTAATTTTGCATTTACCATCAGCTAATATAAGCAAAGCTGCAAATCCACGAATAATTTGTAATGGTGAAATGGCAATGTTCCATTCTTCATTTGTAATGCGTAAATTTTCCTAAAATTTAAGATAGACAGTAGATTTAAATAAATTATAAAGTTGTATATAAGCTAAATTTGAGATATTAATAGCTTGATTTATCTGTTATAAAATTTTATAAGCATAAAAAATTGTATAAAATTATTGATTCATTGTAGTGAATTAGCTAAAAACATATCAGTTCTGTGTTTAAACTTTTTCATCAAAGCATTTAAGATAATTCATCCGATGTTAACTCTATATTTAAGGTAATTTTATCCGGATAATTTCAATCGGTTACAATGAATTTTTCCAGTTCATACTGACAATAACTTACTAAATAATTTGATGAAAATTTTTCGAGAAAATGCTAATAACTAAAATTAAAAAAAAAAAAAATGAAAAAAAAGAAAGCTTTTGCAGCTAACGAAATAATTATTATTAGCATAAACAATTTTTTCTTTTTTTTGGATAATGCAAAATTAACATCAAATAAGTTTACTTACTGAAGTCATCTTTTCTATTTCTCTAATGCATAATCTACATCACGTACGTACGTATAAACGTATATTTTTTGAAATTAAAAATTGAAAAATAATATGCAAATGCAAAAAACAATTTTTAAATAATACAAACTATATCAGTAGTTGGTAAATACGCCAAATTAAGACGTTTTGATGGAATTTTATTCAATAATTTAATGCCAAAATCGATTAATGGTGAATATTCCCATTCATCTATGATAATTTCATTTCAATGTTTCATTTAAATTTCATTTGAAATTGATAAATTCAGGTTAATAAGTCCTTTATACTAATTTTATGACATATTTCGCAGCAGCAATTTTTCTTAAATTTATCTTAACTCCTTCAGATTAATTAAATTTTATCATTTACTTTTATCAAAAGAAAAAAAAAAACACAAGATCTCTCATCTAATGATAATTGATTAATAACTATTCGCAAACAAATGATTTTTTAAATCAATAAAATAAGTTTTAAAAAGTAATTTCATTGAAATATTGCTAAAACATAAAATAGAAGTAAATTTCGTACTTTTTCTCCTTTTTTTTTTTTTTAAAGAAATCAAAAAAAAAAAAAAAACAGACTATTTTTAGGATGAACCGATGATATAACCATAATGATAAAATTATTAATTGAAATAAAAGCAACCGATTTCGATTACACAGAAGAATGATTAAAGAGAAATTTGCTTAGTTATTTATAAAATTGTTGTTGAAAAAAAAAAAAATGCTAATTTTTTTAAAATGTACAAAACATTTTTTTGTTTCTTTGCTATTTAAAATGATAACAAAAGGACAATGAACGAATGATTGAGATGCATAAATATTAATGATAATTAGTCATTGAATATATTTAAGGTAAATTCAAGGTAGACAGAAATATGAACTAATTTCTTTTCAAAAATTATTTCAACTTAGTTATGAAATTTATTTAAAATAATTTTAATTTGTTGGTAAATGTTTTGCAATGAATCACTTTATCAGTTTATCTTATCACACATTTCACCATTGTACATCATTTTATTGATTTCATTACAATAATTACTGCTAATACTACTATCATTACATAAGTAATTTAAACTATTGCTGCACTGCAGGATGACACATTTTTCGAAGCATTAAATTTAGCTTTTTCAATTTTTGGAAATGCTGGCCGAAAAATCTGAAATAATTTGGCGGAAACATGAAGGTTATTTGCCTTTTTTATAATTTTTATGCTAACTTTATTAGAAGCACTCATAATTTCATAAAATCAATTTCATAAAAAAAAAAAAAAAAATTGAAATTGGAAATTTGTCACTTCATTATCAATTTTATTAACGCATACTAATGAATAACTTAATTAACATTAAGTACTTAATTTAATAATTATAAACAAACTTTAAATGAGCATTGCATTTGCTCATCAACTAACATTACAGCAGCGGCATTATCAAATAGACCACAATAATGAGGCGCCGAAAAAATTGTCACTAATTTACGATTAGCAAAAAATTCATAACCATCTTGAACAACCTAAAATTAAAATATTGAAATGAAATTATTATTTTCTCTTTTTTTTTTTTAATTCTATGATTAATTACTTTTAAATTTATTATCATTCTTTTTTGTAATAAAATCAAAATATTATCGTTTCAAATTGAACAACAGTTCTGGAACATGATACAAATTAATGATATAGATTAATTAATCGATTATTATTTTTTCATAATAAAATTAAATTTATATACGTATATGGAACTATATGAAGTTTCTATTTTCTCTTTCATTTTTTTTTTATTTTATTTCTAATATAATTTAGATATGTGATAGTTTTACTTGATGTGCGCGACAGATCAAATCTAAGTTAAATTTTTCACATATTCTTTTGACCATTTTAGCACCAAATGTAATCGATATGCCACGATCGTTGAATTTAAACTCATCGGTGTATGAATTTGGATCAGCCCATAATAAATCTAATGGAAGCGATGGATTTGGTGGATCCTATAGTTAACAAAAAAAAAAAAAAAGAAAGTTTTTGTAATTACTACTATACAGTATATCAATCACATTAAAATGAAATTTAAAAAAATTAAAATTTATTATTTAATTAAAAATACTCAGTAATTTATTCAAAAATTGTTTGTCGCATTTTAGGATTATATTTTCATTTTTTTTTTTTTTTGATGGAATGAAAATTTTTAAATTCCGTGAGTTTATTTAAAAGTTGAATATTTACAACAAAGTAATCAATTCATTATCAATTGATAAACAAGTTGATTTTATCTGTTATCTGAAAGTTGATATCATTAGCTAATCGTAACCACCTTGAAGCATCCAATCAAGAAAAATTATCGATAATAAAAACAAAAAGGATAAAATTTATAGAAGTTAAAGCAGATTTAAATAATTGGATCTATTCTGGAAGTAACTAATAAATCAGATTTACAGGTAATGGCCGATAGATCGATTGGAGAATGTTAAGATTATCAGCTTTAAGCATATCAGGTGATAAGCCACCATGCATACAAAGTATTCGATCACCAATGATTGCACTTAATGGCATAACATTGAAAACACTCTGTAAATTTAAGCAAAACATCACTATTCAGTATTGTTTTCCAAAAAAATTTTACAAAAATCGGAACCGGAAATCCCGAAACATTTACTGTTTACTTTACAAACCGTAATTAGGTAAAGATGAAGTAAAATAATCTTATATGTGTAAAAAATTTCACAAATTTAGATTGTTATTAAATTCTTTGAATTTCGTTTATTCCAATAAGTATAATTCATAAGACTCTGTGGTTTCTTTTTTTTTTTTTGAAATATTTTATAATTTGGATGGCATTTTTCTTTTTTCATTTTATCTTTCTATGAAACTTTGAGACTTTCAAACTTTTTTAAATCTTATGAAAATTTCATATTTTTTTGATTTCTTTTTTGCTAAGTAATAAAATTTGTCACAAAAAAAATTTATTCTTGCTTCCGTTCTTTTTTTTTTTTTTTATTTCTTCATAAATATGCAAAGAAAAAAGAAATTATTTTCCTTGTTTCTTGTACTTTTCCCTAAATTTTCTAAAATAACCAGAAAAATATCCGAAATGGAAATTAAAATTAGAACTTGAAATAGCATATAGAGCGGCAGTGATTGATATCGTCGCATTATTTCATCGTAAAAGCCATAAATTCGATTTACCAATTGTGTTTCATGATTACCACGAAGTAAAAAAAAATTTTTCGGATATCGTAACTGTAAGAAAAGCAAATTTCTAATCTTTTCATGTAAACGTATGAAAAAAAAATTTTTGATATTAATTTGTAAATTGATAAGAAATATCAATCAATTTTAATGAAAAGGAAATTTTAAATATCTTTTATTATAATAGCTAATTGAAATTTTAATTAAGAAAATTTAAGTAAGTTCAAATAAATGTAACATACGAAGAGAATAGAGAAATGACGTACGTCATATTAGAATTTCAAATCATTTGATAGATTTTTCTTAAATTAAAATAATATAAACTCCTATTTTTTAATGTTTATCTCTTATCATTTATGATGTGATATGATATGATAGATTTAGAGAAAAACATTCAAAATTATTGATTAGCATTACCTTGCATGCAAATAGGAAAATGATTACTTCGAGATTCATTTTACCACGATCGACATAATCTCCAAGAAAAAGATAATTTGTTTTATGTGGAAAACCTGTCTAAAAATTATACAATATTTACTTTTGTATTTTCTTATTAGTATTCATTTTTTTCATTTTACTTCCATAATTTCAATTAAGCAATAATAAATAATTATCAAAACAAACTAAATGAAATATTTTTTTTTTTACTTTACTGAAAATACGTATCAAATCGCCGAATTGTCCATGGATATCTCCGCAAACGGTTATAGGCGGTTTTAATTTTAACATCACCGGTTGTTCCATAAATAATGATTTTACATTCAATAATAAATCAGTGATATTCTAAACAATAAAATGATTAAATGCAACATTTTTTCTTTAGCTAATGAAATCATTCACAATTTATAATAAATTTGAATTTTTAAATTTCAAGATTTTACGAAGTAGAAACAGAAAACACTATTTAACATTTTTTATATTTATTAATAAACAAACTTAAGCATGACCTTTGAAATTATTAATTAGAAAGAAAGAATCAAACTTGTTCAGTGATACAAGTGCTAATTCCTGTATTAGGTCTTCCAATTGTCATCATATGAGCAAAGATATAATCAAGGTCAACAGGTGGCACTTCAATGACATTTGCTGTTGATGGTGATTTTGATACTGTAAGCATATCAATTTGAATAAGTGTAAATTATCACTGAATAATAATTTATTAACGCATTTATGGGTGGAATATATTCTCCACCAAATAGTAATTCAATTTAAAAGTTAATTTAAATTACATCAAATATATATAAAAACTACTTCGCACAATTTACTATAATTATTTTTGTAAGCTCTTTTTGACAATGAAAACTTGAAATGTTTAATAATTTAAATGAAATAAAAAAATGACTCTGCTCTTTCCTCTATAGAAATTTTATTTTTCCGAAAAAAAAATGCATTAGCAGTTAAAAGCATTTTATTATCAATTAATTAACAATAAATAATTTTGATAAGAATAAAATATTTTTCGGATGAATTTCTGTAACAAATTCATTCACCGTCAGATAATAAATAAAAAAAAGTTTTACAGCAAAATACTGTGCACATTTTTAAAAAATTTAAAATTTAATTTAGGTGTTACTGGCAGATAAAGCACTATCATTGGATGTTGTTGTTGTCATTTTTGGCATTCAATAAACTATAAATAAACTAGTCAATAAATTATCTGTAAAAATTATCTTTTAAATTCAATTATATTTTCACATTTAAAAATTTGCATTTTTTAAAAAATGCAAAAAAAAAATCAAAAATTTTAATATTACGCAGAAAATGAGAACTATTATTTTAATTTTTAGAATGTTTCAATTAATTCTTTCCTATTTTTAATAAATAGTTTTGTTATAAATTAAAAAATTTTGTTAAATATTGCATATTATTTCAATTGTATTGAATTGTTGAATTTTTTATGCTTACCGCCAAGATATTTTACTTTTGTATGGGACAAATCAATTGATCTGCCAAATGCGCATTTTCATGTTTATTGGAAAGAAACTTTATTGGAAAGAAACTTCTTGACTAATCTACCAAATTGATTCGTTCGTTCCTGTCCCTTTTTTTTTTTCTTTTAAATAATATTTTGCAATTTTTTATTCAACATTTTTATATTTTTCCGTTTGCTTATTTACTCCATTTGTGCTTAATGCGCCATCATTGTTGTTTGGTGGGGAAAAATTAATAAATCAATTAATAATTCAATTTTTTACCTGTATTTTTTACAGAAATATATAAATGCTAATATCAAATATGAATGTGTTATATCAATTCCTCTTTGCTATTTCAATTTTTTTTAATCAAATAGCAATTTCTGGTTAGTTTACTGTAAATTATTCTTTTTAGCATATAAAATTACCTTATCATTGTTTTCCGTGTAGTATCAGACAAATGCAATTAAACGATTAACAAACGTGAAAATGATTGATATACGTGAAGCATTAATAAAGTGTAACGTGAATGCTAGCATACAATTTTTAGTTTAGGAACATTTAAATGAAATTATGCAAATTTATAAAAGTCAATGATGCTATGCGAAGCTATCAAAAGAATTTATATATATATTTTGGCGTGGAATGAAACTTAAATATTTTTAAATTTTCTCAGCAATTTCACAAATATTTCTTTAACAATTTGTTGTCTGATACTATTAAGTTTGCCAAAATGTTTAAAAAAAAATTGAAGTTTTACGTGAAAATCGTCATATTCACACGTGTTTACGAATTGTTTCAGATATGAAAGGATTACGTTTGAATGACGACATTTCCTCCCAGCGTGAACAATCAAACACATTGACAACAATAGCTGAGCAATCAAAAGATTTGCTAAATCAACAAATGAAACAATTGAGGCGCACTTTGAACAATACTACATCAGCGCCGAAATCTATAATATCACAAATTGCACGCTGCTTACGTAAATTATTGAAATTTAATTTTTGCTTATTTTAACGAAAAATTTCCAAAATTTGTTAAAAAAAAATATTTATTTGTGGAAATTTTAAGGCTGCACAAAACCATTCCTTCTAGCAATTCGAGCAGCATTGGTATCAGGAAATCATTTCGAGAGATTTGTTAACGTTTGCAAGTACGCTTTCTTTTAGCGTTTTTCATTTGTTTCACGTAGCATTTAACGTAACATGACGTTATTCATTTTTTTTTCACACTTATATTTTTCTCTTTTCTATCAAATTTGATCTTAACGTACTGCAAATGTAAGCAAATGTTATATTGTAGCAGACTACGTGGAGTGTTACAGTGTACCAGTCACGTACCCGGAAAATGTTCAAAAGAAAAAGGAATTGAATCCTTGCTAAACAGTTTCCGGCATTTTTGCATAGATCAATTTTTAGGTAATTTAAACTGGTTAACTTTTTGTAATATATTTTATTTCATAATGATAATATTGATACCACTTATTTGATTACTGATATATTAAATTCTAATTCATTTCATTTCCTATTATACTAAGTTAGCATTCGCATTATAGCCTATAAATATATTTTCGAATGCTTGGATCTTCATTCAGCAGCAGTTCTACGTGGTAAGTTTACTATTATTAACACAACTTACGTGTATTTAAATCTAAAATTAATTGATAATTTAATTTTAATTTTTTCCCTCTTATTCTATTATTACTTCTTAGTATAATTAGAATTTATAATATGTAAAATTTACAGAATGTCAACAAAGATGTCAAGCAACTCGTCAAGTACTTGGATGGTTCCTATACAGTTACATTCATTCCACTTTACCGTTTTCAGTACCGGAATCTGATGTACCAGCCAAAATAAATGTGAAATATTTTAATAGAATAAGCAGCGATGCTTGTAGGTAAATATTTTATTTTTTTTCTTGCAACTTTTTTTTTCGAAATTAATTACGAGAAAGTAACTGTTTTTAAAAGTACCGGAATCTGGAGAGTCGGCTAAAATATATAAAATTGGACAAACCGATAAATCAAGAAATTAGCTAATGAAGTTTACTGAATAAACAAAATTTGACCAATTTTAAACAATTAATTTTATCATTGTATTGAGATTGTTTTATTTATTTAAAGATCAGAGACTAGGAAAGCGAAATATTGATTGAATAATTTCCTGAAAATATTTTCCTGAAAGCAATTTTTTTTTTAGCGCATTGTCATGTTATATGCAATGCTTACGGGAGAAATACAATAGACGATGTAGCGATATTGGTGGTAATATGCTTTTGGTAAGAATTTAAAAATTATGCAATAAATGTTTATCTAAGCAATTCTTGGATAATTATTATTGCACAGGTATGAAATGATTGAGAATATATTACAGATTAATGATTTGCTATGATTTTTTCTTTCAGTTTACACTAATATATCATCTTAGTTCGACTTTTTTTTTTTTTTTCAAAAATAATTTACCCATTTTTAAAATAATAGATAAATACATGAGAGTAATACTTTTTATAGGTTTTCATTTAGGTATGTTTATTTACAGGAAGTATTATTCAGGCCATTGGTATCGTTGCACAAATCTTGGGCATATAGTCCGATAGCTACATCAATGATGCTAATTATGCCACAAACATGTAACTTTCTTACAAATTTAAATCAATTGAACAATTACAGGTGATTTGTTTTATTTGTCTGTTAAAGATGTCAAAAAATAAATATATGAAGTTTAGAAATTACAAATGCTTGAAATTGCTGTTAATGTTGTTCATATTTAAGATTAGATGGAAAGACATATGCCAAAATTAATAGTGCATTTCCGAAAAGTGCTATAAATCAATATGCCAATCATTTGCAAGTATAATTTTTAAATTTTCCTATTTTTTAAAATCAATTTTTTTTTTTTAAATTATGCTAAATACAATATTTGTTCTTTTCACTAATAAGTTTTTCTAAATTTTTCTAATAAATTTTTGGAAAAAGTAATAATTTTCAAGGGTTCTAATTCATCTGCTACTTTATGGATGCCACTTTTGAAAAATATACCATCACCGCTGGATCATACAGAATTTTCGAGTAATCCAATAAAAGTTTCAAGTAAGCAAATATTTTAAAACATTTTAATCATTCTAAGATAGTAGCAACAATTGATATATTTATCATTATAGCACCAACAATACATATTGAAGAAATTGAGGAAGCAATTGAAGAACTAAAAGCCATCGATAAATTGCAACAATTAAAATTATAATCTCACTTTTTACTTTTGTTCAATCTTTTTCAACTTTTTGTTATATTTATTTTTAGAAAGTTTGATGTCATTCTATTTTTTTTTTTTAGTTTTTTCATTTTAATAGTAAAGTATTTTGTAATTAACTTTATTTTAAACAATGAAGTTATCTGTCTTTTTTATTTTGAGAACTACAAGAATCCAATACTTTATTTATTTCTTGTTCATCGTTTTAGAATTTTATTACTTCTTTTCCTATTTGTATAAATAAGGACAGTGAGGCGAATAAAAAGAAATCTCTTCGATACCCAAAGCATCAATAATAATTGTCACCAATAAGGTGACGATATTCAGAATTTGCTTCTGTCAAGATTGTATTTGATTACGAATGACCTTATTCCGATACACACAAATTTAAATTAACGACAAATTTTTTTAACATAAAAATCTTTAATCTAAATCAGTGAAACACGTTAACAACCACTTAACTTAATTACCTTAATTATTAGGTATCATATCATGCCTTTTGTTTTCTTTTTTTAATTAATAATCATTTTGTCCAATATGGCGAAAAAAGAAAAATCAATAGTGCTATTTTAAAACACTATGAATATTAGTCATTAATTTTTGTAAGAATTTCATCATTTAATGAAAAATGGCTAATAATGCATTATAAGCAAGAAAGGTTTGCATAAAGTAATCATTCCATCAATATTTTTAAAATTTTACATTTCAGTTTATTAATCTCTAAAAGAGTAATAGCATTGCTTTTTGCATGAAATTATAATTTCTGCCCGCACTTTATTTTTTTTTCCACTTTTACTATTTCAATACTAAAATTTTGAAAGTAATATTAAAGTTGAAAATTTATACCTCCTTAATTTTTTATTAATAACAAAAAGGTATGAAATTAAATGAATTTTTTTAATGATAAAGTTAGCATTATAACACAATTTTAAATGAGGGTTTAATTTTTAATAATCTAGTCATTTTAATATCATGGTAGAAAGTGAACAAAAAACAAAATGTGATGCAATGCAAATAAAATTGTTAATTAAGTTCAAAGGAAAAAATATACTTTTTAATGAATTGCAACTTTAAAACATAACAAAATTAAAATTTTTTTCCTTATTTAAATTACAGGAGCTAGAACAATCAGAACAGAAGGCAAGTGTTATTAATAATACAGTTGGGCTGATTAAATAAATGTAACTGATAGAATCACAGCTTGGGTAAATACTTCCCCTCATAACATATCGAGTAGTCTTATCTCTTTCAATTACGTTGCAATAATACTTTTCAAGTGAGCAGATAGGACGCACTTATCCTAAAGAAGTTCGAAATGCAAATTCTTAATTTTCTTACAAGTTGGACAATCATTTCCTCTTTTAATATGTCAAGTACCGCCCTTATTTTCGGCGCATTTATCCTTCGAAACTTCTGGTAATTTCAAAGAGTACTCCAAGTATGCGGAGTATATAA